GCCTCGGCACAGGAAGTGCAGTGATATGAGGGGTGCCTCGGCACAGGAAGTGCAGTGATATGAGGGGTGCCTCGGCACAGGAAGTGCAGTGATATGAGGGGTGCCTCGGCACAGGAAGTGCAGTGATATGAGGGGTGCCTCGGCACAGGAAGTGCAGTGATATGAGGGGTGCCTCGGCACAGGAAGTGCAGTGATATGAGGGGCGCCTCGGCACAGGAAGTGCAGTGATATGAGGGGCGCCTCGGCACAGGAAGTGCAGTGATATGAGGGGTGCCTCGGCACAGGAAGTGCAGTGATATGAGGGGTGCCTCGGCACAGGAAGTGCAGTGATATGAGGGGTGCCTCGGCACAGGAAGTGCAGTGATATGAGGGGCGCCTCGGCACAGGAAGTGCAGTGATATGAGGGGCGCCTCGGCACAGGAAGTGCAGTGATATGAGGGGCGCCTCGGCACAGGAAGGGAGGGGGGAGGGGCGCCAGACACATTTGGGTTTTAAAAACATTTTATTATTATTTGTATGAAAACAAAACCGGAGTAAAATATATTTCATTATCTGTAGAGGGAAAATCCTCCCGGCCACACCCACAGAGCTGACATGGTGGGCGTGGTCACACTTTAGGATGAGATGGTGGGCGTGGTCACAGCCAATCTTCAGCCCGTGCTTTTATTTGTAGAATCCAGCCAGCTCCAAGCTTGTGATCCGTGGCGGAGGGTCACCCACCGCTGACGCGTTTCACCCATGAATTATCCTGAGGGTCTTGCTGCTGTGAAACAGAAATAAGATCCCGCCCACTTCCTACTCTATAGCGAAGCCCAATTGGGTGAAACGCGTCAGGCGCGAGCGACCGTCAGGCACAGACCACAAGCTTGGAGGTGACCGGATTGTACGGGGTGAGGAGTATGGACGGCGCTCTGGCCGGCCCCTCCCACAAGCCCGAGTGGAGGAGGTCTCTCTTTGTATTAGCCCAGGGACTCCTCCTCAGGGGCGGGATGAGTAGCCCAGGGACTCCTCCTCAGGGGCGGGATGAGTAGCCCAGGGACTCCTCCTCAGGGGCGGGATGAGTAGCCCAGGGACTCCTCCTCAGGGGCGGGATGAGTAGCCCAGGGACTCCTCCTCAGGGGCGGGATAGATAGCACACAGTCTCCTCCTCCCGTCACTTGTCGGTCTCTTCCTGTAACTCTCTCTCCTCCTCCTCATCCAGGCGCTTCAGTTGTTCCTCCACCTCGGGTGGGACCGTCACCTCCAATAGGTTCTCTAAGTCGGGTTCGGGTTCATCTCCAATCAGAACCTAAAAAGACAAAAAAAAGAAGATTTTTGTATCTGCCGTAAAATCAATGAATTCCCGTCTATAGCGGGACACAGGAATTCTATGACAGCCGGGTTATACCGCCGCCTCTAGGAGATCGGGACACCAGCAAACACCTCCCCCGCCAACAGTGTGCCCTACAAGGTCACCAAGGTTATAAATGGGGCCCCGTATGTCTCCCTCCCCTACCCAGCATGCCTCAGTTATGGGAACAACAAGTACGGGGGGGAGGGGCCCTACTGGACGGTACCAGAACGTCAGTCACACTTTCTCCATTGCACAGAAATTCAGTGACAGTTGGGACATCGAGAAGCCGCCCAGCTGACAGGAGGACCAGAAACTAGAGAAACAAAGTCCCCCCGGGATCCAGAGCCGGCCCCGTACCCTCCAGTCCCCCCGGGATCCAGAGCCGGCCCCGTACCCTCCAGTCCCCCCGGGATCCAGAGTCGGCCCCGTACCCTCCAGTCCCCCCGGGATCCAGAGCCGGCCCCGTACCCTCCAGTCCCCCCGGGATCCAGAGCCGGCCCCGTACCCTCCAGTCCCCCCGGGATCCAGAGCCGGCCCCGTACCCTCCAGTCCCCCCGGGATCCAGAGCCGGCCCCGTACCCTCCAGTCCCCCCGGGATCCAGAGCCGGCCCCGTACCCTCCAGTCCCCCCGGGATCCAGAGCCGGCCCCGTACCCTCCAGTCCCCCCGGGATCCAGAGCCGGCCCCGTACCCTCCAGTCCCCCCGGGATCCAGAGCCGGCCCCGTACCCTCCAGTCCCCCCGGGATCCAGAGCCGGCCCCGTACCCTCCAGTCCCCCCGGGATCCAGAGCCGGCCCCGTACCCTCCAGTCCCCCCGGGATCCAGAGCCGGCCCCGTACCCTCCAGTCCCCCCGGGATCCAGAGCCGGCCCCGTACCCTCCAGTCCCCCCGGGATCCAGAGCCGGCCCCGTACCCTCCAGTCCCCCCGGGATCCAGAGCCGGCCCCGTACCCTCCAGTCCCCCCGGGATCCAGAGCCGGCCCCGTACCCTCCAGTCCCCCCGGGATCCAGAGCCGGCCCCGTACCCTCCAGTCCCCCCGGGATCCAGAGCCGGCCCCGTACCCTCCAGTCCCCCCCGGGATCCAGAGCCGGCCCCGTACCCTCCAGTCTCCCCGAGATCCAGAGCCGGCCCCTTGACTGACCTGTATAACCTTCTCGCAGGTCCTCTGCATGGCGGGATCCGTCTCCCAGGAGTGCAGCGACCTCAGGATCAGGTAGACTCCTCGTTCCTTCAGGATGCAGCGCCCCTCACGCGTGGCCCCGAGCTGGAAGGAGGACGGCACCGGACATTAGGACCCAACATATCCATCATCATCATCATCATCCCCTCCCCCACCAGGCTCCTTATGCCCCACCCTCCCCCGTGACCTCCACCACAGACCCAGCACCGCTCTACCCTCCCCCGTGGCCTC